GTGTTAGTCAAGCGATTAATTCAGTCAGTAAAGGTCGTTAAGGTCATCAAGCAGTAAGCACGCAGCTGTGCTGGTAGTCTTAGCTGGTAGTCAATCGCTGGCTGATCGTACAGGTGGAACAAAATCGCCCAAGACAATTACGATAGCACCTGAGATAGTCGATCGAGACTGTTCGGGCGAATTAAACGGGCAGACATATGGGTAACGTGTTGGAGACAAATTACTGCACAATGACCTTACCAGAACGGCTTACGCCCTCTCTGAGACAATGCTTCCAAGAGTAATTATGTGAAAATTAATTGGTGGGGGTGGGCTGCAATAAATTTTAATTGCCTGTAAATAGTTATCCTAGCAGTAGTTCCACCCCTCAAGAAAGACCTGGGTACCCTGGAAAAACTTCAAATGAGAAGATTTTCGGGTGTGGGAAGACTCGATCCTGTTCCACGCTTCTGCCTTCAAGTTAGCTCATTGAATTAAGTAGAAACCAGAAGAGAGAAAGAGGCAAGTTCATGGCTCACCCTGTGGGTGCATATCAAAATTTCTGTATAAGTAATCTTATTTCTTATTAATTTGAATCCTTCAAGGTGAGTACCGTAGGTGGTGTTCCAGAAAGATTTTTGGAAGTCCTACAGGAACCTTTCAAGTACGTCTGCGGAAAAGCACCTTCATGGGAGCGTTTCCCAGACCTTTTTGCCAGAAGACTCCCCGGTTACTCCTTTCTTGGTAAGAACCTTCCAATTCTACGTCAACAGGGTAGCAACCGCTCAGTGTTCTCCACTGGAGCAGAATCTCCAGTCATACTCAGAGAGCAGTCAGTGGCCAACGATTTGATTACATTTTGGGTGGCTACGATAGCCAGGCCGGTGATTATCCTTTTTGAACCTCCATGAAGATTCCTCTACAAGATAAAGGTCTTTCCATTGTTAAGGAAAGTTCCCGTGAAGTCCACCAAGGGCCTAAGCAGTACATCATCTCAATGACGACCTCATCATCTCCTTCTTAAATGGCTTTTAAGTGCTCCCAGACGGTTCGGCAACCTATCATTACCGCTCAGCGAGCCGATCGGCTTTTCGGCATTGTTTCACGGCGATAATGTGCAGCTTAGAGTAGGGTGTTAAGTGGTCGCGACGGTGTAGCGGCCACCTGGTTGTCGGCAGCTTCAGAGCTTCTTAACCTCATTGACAAGCCCCAACGACAGTTGCATAAGAGAGTGCTGATGAGAGAGATTGGGTCGAGTTTAGCCGGTTTAGTACAGCTAGAAGATGTTTCTAGTAAAGTTTTCGATTTTTTTTATAAAGTTTAAGACATTTATTAAGGTTCTGAGATGCTCATGGGTGTTGCTGAGAACAACTCCAGTCTTCAGCGGAAATCTTTTATCTAGTAACTGAGGTGGCGGTGAAAATGAATCGGAGTGAGTTGAGGTAAGCTATCTTCCAAAGAGTGGGTAAAACTTGACAGAATTTGATCCACACTCAATCTGGTTTCTCTAAGGGCTCCCTTTGAAGTCATCGTCATTCTAGGTGTATGAAGGTTTCCTAGGATAAAGGTGGCCCAATTTGATCGAATTTACCTATAACGTTCCTGCTGAATTTAGCCCGAAAGGGATCCAGACAACCTCTTACTTTCAGGGAGCCAATAGTGCAATCTCTATAAGGTTCATGAAGGATCGATCTCAGGAGAGAGGCTCAAGAGAAGGGAGAACAGTTCAGGTTGACTAGTTAAATGTGGAACGGTAGCCATCTACCTTCAAAAGAAAAATTTTATATCTCTTCCTAGTAGCTTAGCCAAAGCTAGCCGAAAGCTATGAAATGGTCTCTAAGAAGTTGCAGGATTATGTAGAAATTCCACCAACCGCATTAGGCTTTTAGCCACCACTGAGTGCACAACTTCATCAGTATGTATATCAGGTGGAAAACCTTGAAGTTAACTCCCATTCTTTCTACAAGTTTATTTATTCGCTCCCTAATCGATCAGGTGGATTAGTGATCACAAAGTAGTTCAGTTATGAGCAAAACTTTGGCCTCAGGCAAGAAATGAACTCGCAACACAGAAGAGTGTAGCACAACCTAAACCT